GTGACGCAGCGCAGTGAGCTCCAGGATGAGACGGCCTTCAGCACCCCCACGGGTGAGCAGGGGGCACCCAGCTGGCACCGAGGCCTAGCACCAGCTGCTGGACATGGCCCCCTATGAGGGCTCTGCTGGCCCAGCTTTGCAGGTCTTCATGCGGGGAGGGGGGGAAATGTGGTCCACCCATGCAAAAGAGAGGAGGCTTGGGGCAGGAGGATGCTGCTTGGGACACCCTGGAAGCCCCGATGTCAGCTCACCCCTCTCCTTTCAGGTGGGTCCGACACCCTTGTGGATGCCTCCATGAACACAACGCCAACCTCGGTGCTGGCCCTGTCACAGGCAGAGGAGCGCTCCAGCTGGTCGGGCAGCCAGCAGACCGTGGTGGAGAAGGAGACGGATCCCAACCTCTCCGCGCGGGGACCCTACCTCCGCCCCACTGCCTGGCAGCAGCCACAGGGAACCCCAAGGCAAGCAAATGCACTGGCCCCGTGTGGCGCCGAGGTCCGGCACCTGGGCGTGGAGCCGCTGGTGCGGGCATCACGGGCTAATCTGGTGGGCACAAGCTGGGGGTCGGAGGATAGCCTTTCGGTGGCCAGCGCCGCGAGCGCCTTCAGCCTGTACCGAGGACGGGCGCTCTCACTCCACGTGTAAGTAGCCGGGGGAAGCGCACAGAGGGGACATCGCGCTGGGGCCATCTCCTTCCAACCCCCGCAGCCATCTCCTCCGCTCCACCTGGGCTTTCTCTGCCTTTCCTCATGCCCGGATGAGGAACTGGGGCTCTGAGCAGTAAGCAACCTGTTCTTGGTGAGGTGGTGGGAGCAACCAGGGCTGGCAAGGCTGAGGTCCTTGAGGTGGGGGAATGTGGAGTGGGGTCTCTTTCTGCTGGTGCCAGGCTGGAGCTGGGGGTGACCCCTGCACCGCTGCATGAGCTGCAGCATCTCACCCGCAGGCTGTGCCGTGGGTGTCCCCCATCCCACCCAGTTGTGGGGACTCTGTGCAGCCTGGGGTGTGGGGACCTGGGGGTGTGTGGAGGAAACCCACTGGAATGGCTCTGCCACCTGCAGTCCCACTGCACAGCGGTAGCAGTGGGGGCCAGGGATGTGCTGCCTTCCCAGGACCTGCTGACATGCTCAGAGACCCTGTCCCTCCCTGCTGCCTTCAGTCCCCATCCCTGCAGGCCTTCTCCTTTGACCTCCATCCTGCCCATTTTTTTTGTTAGAGGCTGCTTGTTCCACCAGAATCATATCTCCACCTTATAATTTCTGCACTGAAATTGCTGAGCCCCCTGGGGGGCAGTGGGGTGGGGCAATGTGCCCACAGCAGCATGTGCATGGGGAGGGCTTGTGGCCTTGAGGACCCCCTCTGCCTTGCAGAAGAGTTGGCCTGTGCCACGCTGCCCTGACATGCCAGGACACCCCAGCAAACTGGGGCACCCCCTGGCCCCCAGTCCTGTCTGCATGGCGGCCCTGGAGAAGGGACTCACTGGGTATCCCAGCATCACCCCGCTGTCCCACATGGGTGCACCCAGGCAAGGGGAGAAGTGTCACAGCAGCCGAGGACTCTCACTCAACCCAGCCAGTTCCTGGTGATCTTGGTGTGGCCAGATTCACTCGCTAGAGGCCCTGGAGGCTCCCTGGTCTTGGGGTTGCCCTGGCCACCTCCCCCCTTGCCATGCCCCATTGGGCACCGTGGGGTGGGCTGGGAGCAGAATTGCAGCCAGGAGGTGAGGGTGGGCTCTGAACCGTTCTCCTCTGTCTCTCCCCTTGCAGCAGCATCCCCCACGGGGGCTACCGGAGGGATGACCCCCACAGCCGCCCTGTCTCTCCAAAGCCTGGTGCTGAGCCCCCAAGGTCCCCTGCTGCCCTGCCGCTGACCACCAAGCCACCCATCCTCCGCTCACCATCTCCCCTTGCCGGGCCGTGTCTGCCATCTCCCACTGGCACCACATGCCAACCTGCTGCTCGTGGCCCTGGTGTCCCCTCCTTCACACCCGTGACCCCCCGCAAGAAGTCCTCAGTGCCGGCTGAGTACCAAGACACTGTCCCCGAGGAGTATGAGGAGAAGATCAAGAAGCCCAAGTCCTCGGGGTACTCGCAGGGCAGCACGCAAGAGTCCCGTCCCCAGACACCCATGAGTGACGCCTCTGGCCGCATCTCTGTACGGGCATCCCCCAAGCTGGTGCGTTCTGGCTCCAAAATCTTTGAGAGGCTGCA